AAACCGAGTGTATGGTCGGAATAAGTAATTAAAAGGATTATAACGTTCATAAATTTTAAACTAAACTTGTAACTAATGCAATAATAGCGATTCCACGTTGGTATTGTAAATCCTAGGATTACCTGCACACAGATGTTTCCACGACAATAAAGTTCCGAAGAAATTTAATTCTAAATTTATATCGTACTTTAAACAAAAAATTAAAAATAATGTCGCTATGATTTTTAGTTCGTTTAAAATATTAAAATTGTCCTGATAAATGACTAAGTATATAACGTCATATTAACAGATTATTTTTTCGCCAAAAAATATTATTAACATGCGTCTTATTTTTGAAAATTCATAAAAAAATGTTATACAGATTTATATTTTTTTAAGTTGATGTTATTTCTCAATAGTAATTTGTGGTGTAGATTTAATTTGTATTTGACTCGGACGTCCGCTGTCTCAACGTAGGACTTTAAGCTAACTTCCGCTTGTCGTCCATTTACTTTGCTCTCTTGTCGATGATACAAACTGGTAAAATATTATGTTTACAGTGTACCGTGTGACATTGTTGTTCAAGTATAGGAAGAATCGTTTCATTTGTTTTATTTTTATTTGTAACGGAATAATGTCATGGGTTTCGCCTATGGTCTAAGCTAGGTCCAGGAAAAGAGGCTATCATTAGGACTTATTCGAAGAAATTTGGGTATCTCTTGGACATTACTTGGCAGCTGGCCCATGGGCATCTTGGGGGGTGCCATTGATGACATTATTATCTGAAAGTGATTAAAGGTTGTTTAATATTACTCGAGGTAAATTGGAAAAATCCACTTCTGTTTATTATTCAGTAACTTAATCGCATCATAAATTTTCTCTCGTATTTAATTTTAGGACTTAGGGTGAGTCTGTTTTACACAAAAAGACAATCAATATCGGAAAGGTAAATAAAGTCGTTTTCGTTTTGTTGCAGTGAGAGATGACATCATGAAATATCCGTAGCTCCTTTTATGAATACATTAATCTGAAGCGGGCCCTTCCGTCGGTTCGTTAGGGCTGACTGAACTGACAAATACCGCGCAGATTTCGTGTTTACCGGTGTATTTTAATTTGCTCTTGGGTAATTTCATAACTGTTTTATGATATGACCAGTATTTTTAAAATTAAAACCTAATCTTAAGTGAATTGGTTTTAAGTATGTTTATTGTAGCTTAATTATAAAGGCGCTTGATAATAAAACTAACATTTAAAGTACTTTACCTATGCAACGTTGTATATGCAACTTTTATAAAAAGCTTTGCATTCGTACACCGAGGTAGCCACACTGAAAAACTAAATTATTGTTTAAGTTTAAGCCACATCTGTTAATTTTTTATTTATCTATGTTGAATTTTTCAATAACATCAATTTACAACTTTAGAATTTCAGTTAAAAGTCATATTCTCAAAAATCAGTTTACCTTAGTACGCAATTATTTTAGTCAGTGTTTAGGGAAATGACAGCCTTTTGTATTTTTAAACTCTTTTAACCCAGTCATTATTTTACAAATATATTTAAGAAAATAAAACGTTTATCAGAAAATCTCGTCAATATCCGTACTGGATTTTAGAAAAGCTCGTGATTTCGTAAGCATCATTCATCGGTCGCCAGTCAACGCAGGTGGCCGCGATCGAAGCTATCACGGTACGTGCCTATCGCAACGAATTGAAAGCAAAGCGACGATCAAACGTGATGGAAACCGTCCACCCTTAACCGATTATTCGACACACGAAAATGATTCAAACACAAATCGATACTAACCAGTTTAGATTGATTACTTTGACGTAAGCCATTCTCAAGTTAAATAGAAATTTATAATAAACATAAAATCTGTATTTATGTTCTCACACTGTGAGTTTTAATGTTTTAATTCATACTGATAAGATTTGAGAGTAACTCCTTAATCGTGAAATAATCGTGTTTTGAAGTAATAAATAAATTACAAAATTATAGGTAAAAATAATATCTTATAAAGCGCAAAAATTGAAAAACAGTTACTTCTAGAGAAAGGTAGCAAGTAACATTAATTTACAAATAAAATAAAACATAAGAGAAACTAATCAGAACTCCATTTATATTGTGTTGTTATAAGCAACCTAATTACACTAGATTACCAACTCTAAACGTGCATACAGCGTGTTGGAATAGCAAATGACGTGGAGTGACGTACAGCATAATTTAAGTTTGGGCGACCTATCTGTCATTTGTTGGTTTGACACACTCCATAAACAAGTGCTTTATTTGGTTAGCTACCAATTTTAAAACAATAACACAACGAACATTAAATACTTTTTAATTTATATATAACATGATCTTCTACTAGGGAGAGTAGGACTAGATTAAGTTAAAATCAACGAAGTCAGAAACGATTAACCCTTTGCTTAAAAAATGTTAATATTCTTTATCGAACATTAAAATCTTTTTGCAACCATTACAAAACTACTATGCTTGAAATAAAAGTTATTAATATTATTATAGTAAAACCATTGTTTTTGTGTCAATATATTTAATTGTGAATTGTTTTAGCGTTTTAATTAAAATATTTTTACTGTTGTACTGTCGATTATTTCATAGCGGCATTGTTGCAAAGCACTTGTGAAACTTAATAAATATTTTTTTTTAATTTCCAAACATTCCCTAAATGTTTGTTTGTCTTAACATATTAAAGAAAGAATAAGCGGATGCCATATTCTGAAAAGAATAACGATACAGAATTTTAAATTATTACGTTTACAAAATAACATTAAAGTATTCTTTGACAAATCTTACCGTAGAAAACGTCTCGACAGAGACATCTTTGAATCCCGGGGCATTTAGTTGTAGCGGTCGAAGCGATCTTTGCATTATTAAAATAATGTAAGGTCGTATAATATTACCAATTTTCCAAAAGGGTATATCCAAACAAGCCTCGCCAACAGATCTCAACTGAAAATTCATGAATACTTCTATACTAATATTATAAAGAGGAAAGATTTGTATTTAGTGTTATAGTATGTATTCGATTCACGTTAAAAGTACTGGGCAGATTTAAAAAAATTTTTCACCATTAGATAGGCAATTTATCTGTGAATAACATAGGCTAATTTTAATTTGAAGCGTGCGAAATCACGAGCAACAGCTAGTATTTATTAAATGTATAACCTTTATCAAAAATGTAATTTCAACATTCAATATAATGAAATACTCACCTTCAATCCCATAACTGTACTCAAATAACTGGGAATAAATACTTCAATAATTGTTCCACCGCACAGTAACATTGTAATGCCATTTATTTCACCGTCTTTAAGTTTCTGCAATATTTTGAACAAATTAAGTAAAAAGTATTGTAATTCTAAGTAAATATTTATAATAGGATTAAAAAAAATAATAACCTCAGCACTGCAATAGGCGGTCAAGCAAACGACAGGACCACCAGCTTTTTGTTCAAACATAAGTAATTTTTTGTATACTCTCGTATAGTTTTCCAGAAGCCTGAGAAGTGGTATAAACCTTTTAGAATTACCTCAGAATAACACAATTTTAAATTCACAAAAATTGTTACTAAAATACTTTTTACCTGTACATAGACTGATGTTCGCGTACAATCATGTCCATTCTGTACTTGACTTTAGAATGAAACTGTTCAGTTTCTTCTTTATTAGTCGGTATCTTAAGTCCTTCCATGAGATCTTGAATGTACCATATAATTAGATCCGCTTTTGTTGTTATTTGTCCAATCCAAAATATCTGTGTTTGGATCATAACTACGAATAATGTGCAAATTTTAAAAGAAATCATTTTTTCGGTCAAACTGAATAGACTGAAATTTATTTTCTATACTTTATGTATACTAATATAATAAAGCGAAAACACACACCACTTCATGGCGTAGGATGTCAGTAATCACAGCATGTTGTTGAATAACTTTTCTTTTATAAAAAAGCCCTACTCTCACGACACAAATGTAAAAATTGAATTAAGTCTTAATATAATAATTTCATGCGGATGAAGCCACACGGGAAGGGCTAGTATTAATGTAAAGCTCTCATTTTAACAATCACTTTCTCTACGTATGTGTTAACGCTTATAATTTTCAGTGTGTTACTATTTACAACTTACATATGTAACTGTAAGCATATCCCAAAGAACAGAAGTTGGAGAATACAAAGGCCAGTTCGTAGGCCGGTGCCTTGGTGAAATCGGCGTCGAAGAACCAGAAGGGGAAAAGAAGGGGAGGACTTGTCCCGTCACCTGGCTCGTGAGTCACCATATACCAAAATAACCAAAGTAGTGTGATAAACACCACACCGATGCCAATGAAACTTGTGAACACGACAGACAGAATACACATTTTCCAAATCTTTAGTTGATTTGCGAAAAACCTTGATCTATGGAATTAACATTTTAAATTGTAATACCATTGCTATGCTAATTGTTTTTTTCTAATACGCCGGAATATTAGGGTCATGTTAACAAAACAAGATCCTAACATCAAAGCAGATTTTGGGATCTCAGTATTTTAATTAATTTACTTAAGTTACATTACAATTTTATTTTTATAAATGTAAGGATATTATGTAATTAAAAAAGTATAGAAGTAACAAAATGCACCTGTATTTTTTTCCATCCGTGCATACGAATTTAAAATCTTCTCGAAGTGTTTCCAAAAATATGCGATATTCAGGTAAATTTATAACAGTGCATAAAAGCATTAGTATTTCATACAGTAAGATAATGAAATAACATCCAGCCTCCGTTATTGTAGCCAAATCGTTTACCCTAACGCCATAGGATGTGGTTACCGACAGAAGAAATAAAGCGAGCAATGTCGTAACACCAAGAATGACAACAGATAAATATCTGAAAAAAAAAATAGTCTTAAATAGTATCTTAAATAAAAATATAGTAGAAAAACTATCGGATATAAAGACAAATCGCTTATAGCGATCAAGAAGTTTGAGACCTTGAGACTGAAGTTTGGTTTATGTCCTACCTCCATATTGGTTTAGGTTCGTTATCCAATACTAGAAAGAATTTTAAAACATAATAACATGTACAATGATATTTATATGGATCTACCAATCCATCTGAAATGTTAAAATTATCTTTGTTATAAAATGCCTTAAACTTTTTCATCATGTTGTTTTAGAAATCCCCTCTTTTTCAAATAATTAGATAAAGGTAAACGAAAATAGATGTATTTTGTTATCAACTCGTTGTAGCAGACTAAAGTAAATAAAATGCATAGCTTTCTTATATAGCTCTATTGTTTCAATTTCTATAATGTGACATTAAAATTCAATAAGTGACAAAGGAGTTTCTTCTTTGAATTTTACTGTGAAGTCTCGTCTTGTCATTAGTTGAAGACGACAAGGACTCTATAATAGAATTTCAAGAGCCAAATTACAGCCCCGCGTCTTAAGCATCGCGCCTCGGGCTATATTGCAAAAAGTAATCGCTCCTACATTCTTAATGCTTAAGAAGCATATTATAGTTTGCAAATCATCATCAACCTGCACTTTTCTCGGAAAGTCTGCACGTGTTAAACTCTTCCATATTTCTCTATCTAAAAGACTCTACATGTTATATAGTATATACGCTTAGAACATGTGTATATAATCCCTAACTTAAATCTGGAATCATAGGTAACGTTCAAAAATTTGAAAAAAATGGTTGTTTCTAAATTTCCATGTTATTTCGTATTTCTGTTTTAGTTTCTCAATTCCTGATTTCTTAACATGTAAATTTTTTTGTCCACTATAACTATAATTAAAAACGTTAACAAAGATATAACTGTAACGGGTAAATTACATTATTGTTTAAAAACAACAACAAACAGTTGTAAAACCGATTTGCAGGATAACGAATAAAATATATTCTGCATAAAATTGTGAGTAGCTTTAATTAATGAAGCGTATTAACGCGCTTAAAAACGAGATGATAAATGCAAAAACGGCAAAAATGAGCCGCTTGCCTTGCTTTTAATTAATTACCATCTGTTAAAGACTTTTTCATAAAAAATGTTAATACTTACATTCCTAAGGTTATCTAGATTATAATTTTACAAAATAAATAAGGATTACCAAGTCTTTTGGAGTATTAAAAGAGATATACTTTAATTTTGTATGAAATGTCCCCAGATGTCATTCGAAGCCACTGCCTCAAGATATACAAGGTTAATTTGATTATGCCGTAGATTGTCTATTAAAGTGACGACGACCATATTACGCTTGTTAAACAGCACAACCTAAAAGTAATCTTACCCTTAATTTCGTAGACCTATTACGGTTACATGCAACAATAAACATATATAACGTAATTAGTTTGAAAACGTTAAAAGCTTTTGAAGCGCACCTGACATTTTCACGGTCAGTAAAAGCAATCTATATAGTACTTGTAAATTTATTTCATATTGATAAAAGCTTCGGCATACACTACTCATAGTATTTTGTTAAATTATTTAATTAAATTTATACGATGTGGTCATTCCCAGTATATTTCAATATAAATAACTATTTTTTTAAATGTTGTGCGTTGAAACAACTGTGATCACAAAGGAAGTCGCTTTGATAAAATTTAGTTTGAGAAATCTGTAATAATCGTATCTGTAAGTAGATTTTTTTTAATAACAGATACTAATTCTACTGTGAATAGTTAGTGTCGTTAAAAACAGAAGCCACCTGATGAGTGCTATATCAATTTAACATGCGTCGAATTTCCCGGAAATCCAGGTCGCGTCACATCCGCTACCGGAAACGGTCGCTACGACATACCGGAACTCATTATTTTTCACACGTGTAGAGGTTTTATGTGACATGCGACACTTGATACCTATTTTTAGCTCTATGAAGATATATGAATAATATAAAAAGTTAGTAAATGACATATGATTTCTTATAAACTGAATAATAATTTTCCCTTACTTTTGTAACATGGATTGACTAGAAAACATGTTGAAATTTTAAAAAAGCTAATTTATATTGTACAAGTTATCACTTGTATAGAAAACCTTAAAAATCGAAGTCTTTAATTCAAACCTGCTTTTTTATTGATTCGTTTTAAAGATATTTGCTCATTTATAAATTACATAACCTTGTGTACGTATGACTCTAGTGCGCATTAAACAAAGTATAAAAGCAATAGGAAAGCTTGTTGAAACTTTTCAGAGGAAAAGCAAAATAAATCATAACTTTGTGGTTTCGTCTGAGGATTAATAACATCCACGGACGGCCACTCGAATCATATCGATAAGCAATTTGCTATAAAATTTATTGCTTTAATTTTATTTTATATTTCTCTTAACATTGTTCGATAGTATTGAATTATTTTTATTTATATGGACAATATCTCTTTAAGATGTCCAATAAAATGAAAAATAACTTACATACAAAACACCTTAGATATAATGTAATTTTGGTTTATCAGTTCTTGAGATTATCCGACGACAAAAAGTATTTAATTAGTAAATATTCTCATCTTATTTCTGTTGTAAAGAAATAAACTACATAAATGCGGTGTGCTACTTTTAACATCTTATTCTACAAGAATCAGTGTCAACATCTAATGCACAAGAACACTTTCAACATTTTTCTTATTCATGCGCTCCGCAGTGCAATTTACTAAAAGCGAGTCAACAACTCAGTGGAGAAAATTGTACGCCCAATCTCGTTCTGATCAAAATATTTTTTATGCAATAGCGTTTATATCACGAATTATACACTAGGCTTCAGAAATTTCCTATTTAAGGCTGTGTTACCATGTTCTTTTGTTTTAAAAAAGGTACATGGGGACTTATATCGAATCTCCATATTTCCATGGTTGAGTATGAACGCATGAAATTCAATTATAACGGATGGGAAAATTTAATTTCTCTCCCATCGTGTTTCCCGGACAATTTATTTATTCATAGCTCCTGTTACGAGTAGATTTCTAATTGCTTTATTGGAAAAACAGTATCTTATGTGAAATGTACATTATCGCACACACTTGCATAGGTCTACTATAGAATATTCTTATTTTTTAATGTTTGTTTTCTACGCCAATAATTAAATTAAGATTTTATTTTTGGAAAAAGGAACATTAAATGGAAGTCGAAAATGAAAATGCTAACGAAAAGTAATCAATATGAGAGGTAAGAATAATTATTTTGTAGAACATACACACGATCATTAAAGGACGACTCAAGTTGAGCAAGTAATGAGAACATGAACGACGTAATTTAAGCTCTCAACTTAAAGACAAGTCACGTATACTGTACGTTAACTTTCTCTCAACGTGAATATGTCACATTTAAAATAGAAAAATAAGCATTTTATGCTCCCTATATGTTATTACGTAGCCCAACAATTACAGTGTATTATGTTTAATCATACTAATATAATAAATGCTAGAATAGATGGATGTTTGTTATAAAGTGTTTTAAAATCAGTTACCAATCTTATTGAAATTTGGAACAGATGTAAAACACTGTCTTCAGTTATAAAGTTTTCTTTTAATTCCGCATGGACGAAGTTATGGGCAAAAGCTCGAGTTTAATATTTGTATAAAAGTGCATGTGAACCGTACTTTCATTTACTCAGGTCCCGTGTGTTTTGTGCGGAGTTTTACGTCGCGTAATCACTCACACGGTAGTTGTTTGCGTTTACACATCTTTTTATTTACGCAAGTCTTAACACCAATTCTACGGATTTTTCTTTTCTTTTTATGGGTACTGAAGTAGAATTAATTAATATATATTTATAATTCAGATAACGGACCTTAGCTTCCAGTAATATTAGAAAAAAATTGGTAGTTAGTTGTCTGATTCTTAGTTTCACTAATCTTTGAGAAGTCGTCATAACTATCCTTAGTCTATCATCTTTTAAGTATCATATCATAAACACAAGAAAGTATAATTTCCTTAAAACGAAAATAAAAAAGATTGTAGAATGCGATGGTCACTTCATAAACTCGAAGTGATAAACTTGCAATATAAATTCATAGAAGTTCCGATCGCTTTCAAACTCGACATCTGTAACCTCGTTGAATTTAAACTCATAAATACTTTGACCGTGGAAATTTTTGAAATAGGTTACTTTTAAAGAACGTATTCAGTTACTTGTTAAATTATTTTCTGATCCCTTATTGACAAATAAAAATAAGAAATCATCACACAAAGTGATCATGCTATAGTTCAAAAATTCTATTCCTTAGTTAACTCTTTTTTTTTATTTGAATTAAATTTTTTTAGCATTAGACGTTAACTTGATTCATTGTTTTGTTTAATAGTTTTGATTGTAATCTCAATATAGCTACGAGTATGTATGTGTCAAGTGCGCGTCAGAATTAATGTGTTCCATAATAGGTTCGGTGCTTTGACCAGCGACATATTGGCAGTGGCAGGTTGATTGGTATCGGTTGATTGTTTATTGCAATGTTCTGAAACTATTATTCACAATTTGCAACATCGATAATTAAGTTCGGACCTAAACTTTACAGGAAATTCTATCGAGAAAACGTACGTTAGGACGGGCATATACATTCCAGGAGCTGGCAAACTTGCATTCAAGCCACTGGTATATGCAAACGCTAACTGACATGCAGGTAACAACGAAGCATCACACTGACTTATTTATTTACTGGCATAGGTATACGCATTGAGTGGATTATATGGCACATGCCAGTATTTAACATACCAGCTAAAATCCATTTTACTGGCATGTGTATTCTCGTAGATATTGGATTACGAGCTTCCTTTTTGTTATACCAATTTTTGTATATAAATCCATCCGGTATTACCTGTTAATAAATTAATTAGCGAGTAACATCACAAAAATAATTTTCCTCCCCTCGTGTAGCAGGAGGTGCGGCTTAATGCTCTTGTGGAGCCATTCAGTTCATAATCCTATCAATAATCCAATGCCACAAACAATAGCCTTTGTTTTAGATAATAAATTTATTTAATACAATATCAAAAAGAATTAAACATTGAGCCTCTCTTTACATTTTTCTAAGTCAAAAACCAATATTCCATGTTCATATTTTTATCAATAAATGGATCGTGTATTGGTGTACATATACGTATTAAAACACTAGAATTTAATACGTAGATAGCCTACGGTAAAATTCGAGTTAAAGTACTGCTACGAGTCGTAGCTTCA